GGTTTGCTGCCTTGCGCTGGACCCAGGTTCCTATAAGCAAGTGCATTTTCCAGGCACACAGATGTTTCTGTGGAGCCGGAGTGTTTTGCTCCACCTTTGCATGGCCAAGTCACCACACAATATTTAAATACCTTTGAGGTCCGCACACCTCAGGATGGGTAACCGGTGTGCAGGCTGCTCCCCTGAGTCCTGCCTCCTTGCAGGGACTAAGCACAGCGTTTCATCCTAGCTTTGAGTGTGGCTTTTGGTGGGTTATGAAATCCCACTCTTTTGGAAGGGCTCCCCTACTTGTGCTCCATTTTGGATCCAGCCTCTGTTTCCCCAGGCCTGAAAAATTGCTTATACTCATGCAGAACAAGTGGAAAATACAAATGCATCAGCAGCTCCTCTTCGTCCTGGACGCTGCACATCTGGTCCGTGTCCCCATGAGCCGAGAGGAGCTCCTTTGTGTGTTAGGAGCTCGAGCAGTCTCTGCAGTGGAGTATTTGGTGCCCAAGTGTTTGTGGCCCTGCCGTGTGATTTCCTGCCTGCACCAAGGGTGAGCGTGGCCAAGTGTGCTCAAACGAGGAAAGACCCTTCGCGCTCAGATTTCTTTGGAAACAGCCTGTACGTTGATCCTGCCGGCTGATCTCTTGATGCACGCTCCCAGGTTGGGGTGAGGTTGGCTGCATTGGGTTTGGCTCTCCCCGAGAGTTTTTTAGGCTTGTCCTGTCCTTTACCTGTTCCTTCACTGGATAACCCCATGGACTGACTTGGACAGCTTGTGGTAACGTACCACTGACATCCATGGCTCCACAAGGCTACAAGGAGCTCTGCAAGGACCCAGTCCTTGTCCTCCTCCCCACCCCAAGCCTCGTCCTTTCAAAGCACTAACACCTTTCATCCGCCGTCCTTCGGGTTCCCTTTTTCTCATGCACAGAGCCCTGTGACTTCTCTCTCTGCTGCCATCGGGCTGCAGACGGTGGGGAGCAGCTTCCCAAAGTGACAGCCACCCACACCGACCCCGAGGATGGGAGCGTGGCGCTGAGCTCATGTCTGCTGCCACAGGCTGCAGTCTGCCCTCTCGCTGCCCACGTGGGCAGGCGCCCATGAGCTAATCCTTTCCACGGCCAGCATGGGGGGTGGCAGGGATCAGACAGCCTCCCGTTTCGGCTGGAAGGCCATTGCCACCCGCAGCAACATCGCCTTTTCACAGCCCAGGCTCCCACTGGTGGGACAGGGCATGGGATGGCCGCCGTGGTCCCCAGCAGCCACATCTCATGACCTCCAGGCAGGACAGTCATTGCCTGCCTGTCCAGGTACCTCCAGCCCCTGTCCCCGAGACAGGAGCGCGTGGTGGCAGGGAGGACGAATCCCGTGGTCCCCCTGGGGTTTGCACGTCTGGTGGTGCAGGTGCCCGGTGTGGACCATCCCCATGGGCGCATCCTGGGGGTCCTGCAGGGCTTGGGGGGGCAGGGCTCCTTCCAGCCAGCCCAGGGTCTGGGCTCCGCCAGCGGGACAGGGCAGCCCTGTCTGCCATGGACTGGTTCTCTGCTGGAGGCTTGGAGAGGCTACGCCCTTCAACAAAATGCACTTAAAATCATATAATTACAACAGTTATTAACACTGTTTACTAGGCCAAGATCTGCAGCGTTGGAAACATTAAAACCCAGAATATGCAGAAACCACAACATTATGAACTACTCAGTGGATTTGCTTGTGTTCATTGCAGGAGGAGGGATAAAATGAAGTTGTCTTATGCACATCCATCCTCATGTGCTTTAAAAAAAAAAAATTTCTCATTGCATTGGTTTCCTGAGCTGGGTCTGGCCAGCCCCGGTGCATCCTTTAGCAGAACCTCAGCCTTTTCCATGGAGTTTGCTGGTGCGTGGATTTATGGCATTGCAGACCTGATGTCCACACCACCTCCCTGATAGTTGCAAACACATCCCACAGCCAGAAAGCCGAACTGCTGGGGCAGGCAAAGCACCCATCCCTGCTGCGGTGTTTGCAGTAGGTAGGTAAATAATTAGCAACAAGAGCTGATTGAGGTTGAGATAAATTTAGTTGAGCTGTACTGAGACTCTAGAGGCAGAGGAGGTAGGACCTCCTCCTACCACCTCCCCACAGGATGGAGCTTTGCCATTGGGGCGAGCTGGTGTTGGCTGGTCCTACCTTGAGGGCACGACATCTGTGGGTGGTGTTTTCAGCTATCAGTTGCTCCACCGCAAAGTTTAGCTCTAGATAAATCAAGACTATTTCACTGAGTCCAGATGACTCATAACCACAGGGCAGGAAACTCTTTTATCTTTGGGGCAGCCGGTTTAATATAGATAGATGTTCACTCCTGAGCTCTGAATAATTTCCATCTCTTTACTTCTCATTAAAAGCAAATCAGATGAGGGAAAACAGTGAGAAATTTCTCTGTGTCGCCTCTGTTTCTACCATCTCTGAGAGAACTTCCTCCAGATTGTGCAGTCTGCCTGTGCTGGGTCATTTGCCATATATTTTAACTGGCAGAAAAAAGTGCTTTTGCTCCAAAGCACTACTCCTTTGATTCTGCAGGCACGGATGGAGCAAGGATCTGTTACAATGGGGTCTAACCCAGCTCCCAGAGATGTAATTTTGGGGTCTTTCTTCTTTTCCTGATATGGGAGAGCATTGTTGCCTCCTTGGATGAAGGGGAACCACAGAGAAATTGGGCACCTTGCCACCAAGCCTGTTAAAAGAGTCATCTTCACCTCTGAAGAGCAGCTGGGGGTGGAGAGAGGAGGACTGGGGCAGCAGGGAGCTCTTACACATAAGAGGAAAGGCACAGTTTTGCTGGAGAGTCTCTCGAGTTGGTTCTTTCTCTTTCCTAAGTATGTCAGATGGCACTTTGCTTCTTGGGCAGAAGGACCGGCCTTCTTGGTTGCCTCTTCCTGCCCTGCAGGCAGGTTGACTTTTCTCTCTTAGTTTCTGTACCCCAGTGACAGCAAAGCTGCATGATGCTTTTCTGCTCCTTTGATAACTGGGGTCTTGTATTTGCATCTGTAGGGGTTTGTATGTGCCGTGTGCGGAGTCCCTTGGCATGAAGAGCCTTCAGTAGTTGGCCATGCCAGGAGCTGCTCCATATCCACGATGAAACAGGATGTGCTCAGGCTGCCCCGGCCGTAAGCTGAGGACTCTGTGTCCAGAGTGAGCCCAGGGCTGGTTCTCCAGCACTTCTCTGTGTGGTGCGGGTCTCTCTCCATGTGCTGATGCCCTCCTGCTCCCCTTCCTCCCCTCCAGAACCACGGGACCCTGCTGTGGGCATCTCACTGACCTCCATGTGGTTGCTTAGGGATGTCTTGCCACCTGAAGCTCACGTGGTTGGTCTTCTCTGTCCGTCCGGTCTGTAAAGCCCTACGTTCAGATAATGCCCATCCCTGGAGGAATCCAGGGCAGCAACTCGACACCGTGGCTTGGGCCACACTCGAGACCTCTGAATCCGTAGGCTGAAGCCAGAGAGATGAGCGATTCGCAGAAGCCAACCTCCCCATCATTTTCCACTTTTAAATATCACAGTAATAAAAGGTAAAAATCATTAAAGGACTTCTGCATCCCACTGTGCCTAATCTGAAATCAGGACGATGAAGAGCATGTAGCGAGGTTGTTATTAATAACCTGCCTTCTGATGATGGCTTTATAAACATCCTCATCACAGGCGCAGCTTCACGGTAGCATTTTGGCATGACCTTCTAGACAACTGTCCTGCTTTTTATCACGCTCACCCTTTGCTTGATATTTAACCAATAAAGTGATACGGGGAAGACCTAGCCCCTAAATATCTGACCTTATACGCAGGGGTACGGGATCAAAACTGAGAGAAACTGTATTAAGTGTTGTTGCGCTAAATGCTCTTTAGACCTGATGCTCCTTGTCTGGGAACGGTGCCACGGGCCACGGCAAGAAGGGGATCAAATGTTTGACGCCAGTGAAAACCCTCGGTGTTGTCAGGGATGACTCATGGGCAAAAGCCCCACGCAGCAGTGAGGCCGTGCTTGCACTGAGACCCGGGACATTGCCCGATGGCGGTGAGGTCTTGGTGGCGACATGAGGGTCACGGCTGCAGGGAGAGGGGAAGCTCCCAATCGGTGAAGCCAAGAAAAGAACCCAGCTTTCCCAGTGACTCGTACGTGTTTATCATGGCTATTTAAAGGAGAAATCAAAATCGGAGCGGGGAGAAGATTTTGTAGCTTAATCAATGTGGGTTGAGAAGGTGAGGAGCAGCTGTTGAGCCTGGGTCTGCTGGCAAGCAGCAGACTGGGGGTCACCAGTCCCCATCAGGACCTGGCATTGTCTCGGTGCCATTAGAAATGGCCTTTTGTCCATTCCCCATGCTCGCTTCGCTTTCAGAGGGTGCACTTTGCTGGAATAAAGACCCCGGGGAAAGCCGTGCACCATAGAGGGCTGAGGGACAGCGATGAGTGCAGGAGACAGTTCCCACCAGCAGGATGGATGTGGCCAGGGTGCGGGGGGCCGTCCCAAACCAGCTGCGTGGTGGGCAGCACCCACCCAGCATGGGGCTGGGGGGATGTCGGGCCCTGCACACCCACGCCGAGGGGGTCTGGGCAGCCCTGGCTGGGGCAGTCCTGGTCTGTAGGAGCTGTACGCAGCGACTGGGAGCAAGGAGAGGTTGCCCTGGTGCGATGGATGGGGGCTGGTTGCAGAGTTGAGCAGCATGAGGTTGCTTGGGGCATCCCATCTCGAGGGCAGCATGGGGCCAGACTGGCCCTTGGGTTCGTATGAGCCCCTCGGGACCCCCACAGGGCCAGCAGCAGTGATGGGGGGGGAGGAAGGGACTGGCCTTGGCTGCTAACAGATGGATGAGGGCATTGCTGGCACCGGCATCCACCTTGCAGCCGCTCATGTTGGTGCTGCCCTGGCACTGCTCCATCTCTTCTGAGCCGTGCCCCGGTCCCAACACTGTAGACGTGCCTCTGGCTTTCTGGCACGTCCTCACATGCCTCGTTCCCCCACACCTCCTTGCCCTTTCCCAGGTCATCCTCCCCTAAAATGACGCAGCAGATGCGGGACCTGCAGCTGGCACAGGCCAGAAAGCCACCGGGCCCGTCCTCGCCGAACGCGGCCAAGAGGCTCTACAGAAATCTGTCGGGAAAATTCCGTGTCAACTACACATCCTTCGACGAGGGGAGCCTGGTGGGACGGGGTGAGAAGGAGAAGCTCCGCAAGTCCTACCTGGTCAGTATCCACTGGCTCCATCCAGCGCTGCTGTGGCCGGGAAGGCGGGGATGGTGGGTCCGTGTGTGGGTGATAGTGACACCTGGGTGGAAGCTCAGGAGTGTGTTACGTGAAGCCGCCCTGGAGCAGGTTCAGCTGGAGCTGGTCTGAGGGTTTGCTCAGCTTCATCTGGCTGTGTCTGCAAAGAGCCAATGCTTCCAAGCCCCTGGGACCAGACCATCCCCTCCAGTTTGGGTTTGTGAGGTGCTGGTGAAGGGCTGGGGCGTTTGGTGGGGTGGAGGAGGTTGCCTCAAGCTCAGCCAACCTGCGTTTCTCCCTCTGTCCAGTTCCAGAGCAATGCTGCCCTCTTTGAGGCCGTGGAGCTGCAGGACCTAGACAGGGTCCAGGAGCTGCTGAAGCAGTACAGCCCTGAGGAGCTGGACCTCAACACCCCCAACAGCGAGGGGCTGCTGCCCCTGGACATCGCCATCATGACCAACAATGCTCCCATCGCCAGGGCCCTGCTGCAGGCGGGAGCAAAGGAGAGCCCGCACTGTGAGTTGGTATGGGGGAGCCACACCGTGCCCATCACCTGGGCCTCCAGTCTGGTGGAGCGGAGCACCCTGGGCAGCAGGGTCCAGGTGGGCAGGCGGTCACGGGGCTCTGGGAAGCTGGTGCAAGCTGTAGCAGGAGTTCCAGTGGAGCGCGGGAGCAGGACATGGAGGGCAGGATGGGGTCTCGAGCTGGGGACTGGGTGCCAGCAGAGCCTGGGCTTGCCCTCACCACCTTCTCTTCCCTCCTGCTGCCTGTGCTCCCGGGACCCGTGGCCGTGCCCTCCCGCCCTGCAGTTGTGAGCCTGGAGAGCCGCTCGCTGCACCTCTCCACGCTGGTGCGGGAAGCAGAGCAGCGCGTCAACGAGCTGACGGCGCAGGTGGTGAACGAGGCACCCAACGCCGACTGCTCCGAGAAGGAGAAGCAGCTCAAGGCCTGGGAGTGGCGATACCGGCTTTACAAGCGCATGAAGGCAGGGTTTGAGCATGCCCGTGAGTGCCCGCAGGAGGGCTTGGGGGGTATGGGGAGCAGCCCCCATGCTGGGGGAAGGAGCGGGGCTGTGCATGGTCCAGGCACAGGGCTGCACCAGCCCCCGTCAGAGGATCCCGCACCCTGTAGCCA